AGATAAATAAGCAGACGAGCTGACTGGGAGGTATATAGGCGGGTAGAAAAACATCCTGTTGATTTCGTCACAAGTAAATACATGTCAGATTATGAGAACGTTTACTATTCAAAAGCTGCAAATAGTAAAACAAAATTAAAATTGAGAGTGCACAAAATTTTCTTAAAAAAACACGAGGTTGTACAGCCCAAATTAGATTTTGTTTTTAAAGGTTTTTAGGTTACTATTATTTCATGCTTTGAATTACTACCTATTTTCTTAATATATCCAAAATTTGTTTGACCACATCACTAATTCTAATTTTCTCACTCCCGTGCATCGGTTATAGATGTGATCTGATGGGTATGTTCTGGGCTTCTGCTGCTCAATAAGACATTTTTAGGCAAGCTCGTTGCGTGAAGTAGGTAAGCAATTACGCAGAAATATATTTATTGTTCGCTACTTCACCTTCAGAGTTTGCGCTTGACCGAACTGTCGCAGGACAGAATCGCTTGGTTTTGGGATGACTTTTGGGGCGAGGACGATCTGGAAAGTCTGCTTATGTGTAGTGGTTATTGTAATGGTATGTCAAATGTTATTCATGGGTAGTAATCGTTCTGAGTGATAAAAGTTGCGTATTCGCCCTCCTTATTCATACATATAGACAATTGAATTCAGGTGCTTGATATGGCATCGCTTCACCTGTAGTTTCCAAAGGTAATATATATGGCATATTCGTGACAGCCTTGTCATCTGTAAAGACGGAAAGCGAATTTGTGAGGTACGCAAGAAGCGGTACAACGCGTCCGCTTGCCTACGACCTAATTGTCAATGGATCTGCGGCCGAAGCTTTCTCTATTAAAGACGTTAAGCGGTTAAACAGCGATAAGGTACTAGCCAGCGTTTGGGACTCGGCTGGGCCAGGACTGCCTTCTGTGAGTAACCTGTCTTGCTGTTAACTTACTTGTATTCTTTTGCTACCCTTAGACCAGTATTCACAAACATTCTTGTGCACTTCTATAAATAATATCGAAATGACGGTTTGACTGTTCAATGCTCCATATTTAGAGCGTAATGCGTGTGTCATTTTATTTTCGTTGCTCCTTGTTTCCATGCCTGCTTATCGTCGACTATAGTTGTATGAGAAACTTTGCCGCGAATATAACTGAAGTATGTTAATAAAATGTGTAGCTCACTTATTACCATCACGATAAAAATTCACTCGTTTATATGTAGGTTGGGGTGAAAATAAATCCATATAAATGTTTCTAGTAACACAAGATTTGAAAGGTACCATTGGACCTACTATCTTCGGCATTC